TTAAAACGCACTCAATATCAAATCTTCATTATATTAATCTCAGTAATAATGTAATGAGGAAGTCCGGTTGGAAGACAACAAAATCAGAATTGAATCTCTTAACCTTCCAGTTGCTTTATGAGACTGGTTTGTGATGATTATTTAATTCACTAATCATAAATGCAGTTGTTAACATTGCTCATATCAGACGTAATTTACGTTGATATAACTGTTATCACGACTCACACTGCTGTTATCAGAAACTGTTTACATCGATGTGCTATTCGTCAGTTGATGGGAGAGATAAACTACTGAACTAATTAAACAATCAATCAAGTAGTTAGCAAATGTGTTGATACAAAAGCGGTTTCAATTTGAAGAGAGTTCGATCAACTGGATCATAAACTGTTACGATAATCAAACGAAAACGTTCCAACAGCTCAAATTATATAGCCAACTCAATTCGATCCCTCATCTCACTCTGAGAACTGAAGATATATCTGCAAAGTTCTCGATTCATTTTACATCCGAATCGAATAATTTCAGAATGATGTGGAGGCAATTCATCCGGGTTATGGATTTCTATCGGAGCGTTCAGAATTCGCACAAGCTTGTGAGGATGCTGGTATTGTCTACATCGGTCCAAAACCAACGGTTATGGCACGAATGGGTGATAAAGTGAGTGGATTGGCTTGCTGGAACTGAATATTTGAATAGCAACAGGGAATTTGAAATTCAGAACTGAATTTTATAACAATTGTATCTGTTGTGAGCTATCGAATTAATGTGAATTCAAGAAATACCTTGAATATGATATGATTACTGGTGAATGAATGAACGAATGAGCATTAACAATGGAGCTATTCAAAGAAATATTTTATTGACTACAGTCTCAGTGAATTTTTCAGCGGGTATCTAATTTAGCTCATGCAAATTACGAAATGCTGGATGATCATATAGATACTGATCATGTAGATGATGTGTTCAACGTACATTTCAGGTAGCAGCTCGTCAATCAGCAATCGAAGCCGGCATATTAGTGGTCCCGGGTACGGATCGTCCAGTTACGACAGTCGACGAGGTTCATGCGTTCGTCAAAAAGCACGGTACTCCGATCATACTGAAGGCAGCTTTTGGAGGTGGTGGTCGAGGAATGAGACGTGTTGATGATGAGAAAGACGTGTGTTTGTTTAGCTGCTTTTCTTTATTTCATATCCAAACCTCCATTCGAATCATCTTAACAGAAACAATTTTCTTCAATAAGAAATACAGACTACAAGTCCCTTTTTTTCAACGGATTAAAGTCAGATTGATAGAGAACAACAAATCTGCTATGCAGTGGGCGTTTCGTGTACGGAGAACGGTTTCGGCGTTAACTTGCAATAACACTGAATGATGTTAAAGAAACACAAAGGATTAAAATCATATCATAAATGCATGAAGGGATAAAAGTGATCATTCAAGTAGTACATACAAAATTTCCATTTCATCATGTGAATGAATCACAATAACGCAGTCAGTATAAGATGATTATACAAGCACAAAGGGATAAGATAAACATCATCCAACAGAACATACAAATGTCTAATTTCATCATGCATATCTTATATCCTCATACATCTATCATAACTTACACGCAAATAGCTAGTGTACAAAGCAAAAGATTAATTCATGGAGCACTTTCGTAAATAGATTACTTCTGTCTCCTGACGAATCGCATCGTTCCAGCTCAGTTGTGACAAACGGAGAGAGTAGTTTTTACTTCAGATAATTAGTACAGATGAGGACTTTGTTCATAAGATCGAGCGATGTTAAAATAAGAAACCTAAACTGATTCATAACTGCTGTACATTTGAAATGAGTGCTGATTCCGTTCATTCAGACGTATTGAGCTGAAGAAATTTGCAATGTACACCTTCGAAACAGACCGATCATCTATCAGAATTGAATTCAGGTGGAGGCATCGTTCCAACGAGCCTACTCAGAAGCACTTGCATCGTTCGGTAACGGCTCGTTGTTCGTTGAGAAATTCATCGAAAGGCCACGCCATATTGAAGTACAAATATTCGGTTAGTATTTGACTGGGCTGCTGGGATCAAAGTTTTTTGGCGACTTAGCGATTTCCTATGAAACTTTACAAATTTCTCGGGTTTAAGAAAGTTTACATCGAACACAATCAAATTTTCAGGTGACAACTACGGCAATATCGTACATCTGTATGAAAGAGATTGCTCCGTGCAACGTCGTCATCAAAAAGTCGTTGAAATCGCACCCGCACCTGCGTTACCGAAAGAGATTCGAGAGAAGATACTCAAGGATGCACTTAAAATCGCTCGATATGTTGGATATAACAATGCTGGTATGTGAAATTCTATCGCATTAGCTCTTCTACAGTCATTATCATTAGTTTTATATTCATCATTATTATAGTTATCATTTGTTCGATTTCAAGTTGTTTTGGTGGTATTCAATGAAGTGAATTGCAGGAACGGTGGAGTTTTTGGTTGACAAGGATGGACATAACTATTTCATTGAAGTGAACGCTCGACTTCAAGTGGAGCACACTGTTTCTGAAGAAATCACCGGGTTTGTTTCTGTTTTCCTATATTTCAGACGAATTGATCTGCGGATGAATTCATTTGAACTACGAGTCAATAAATCATAATAATCATATGCATCGTTTTTTTTTAAAATACCACTTCTACTGTCCAATTGCATGACTTCTTGAACTCAGTCATGACAGGAGCTAGTTTAAAGGAACCATTGCAATTGTTGATCTTAAACTGTATGATTCTCAGGCGATCTTACCGAGGATTAAGGCTTTTTGGAATTAAATTTATAAGCGGTTTTATGGCGATTGTCATTAAAATGATTCCTTCCCTCGTCAATATTGAATTTACTCTCTCAATAATGGAAAGCAAATATTATATAATGTCAATTTCGCGTGTAAACTGCAACCACTGATGAAAGCACGTATAATGACTTCAAATAAAAGTTTTTTGCGGCTATTTTTAGTATCGAAAGCAAATCGTAGCAATATAATTTGAGTCACAGTCACATCATAGTAATGAAGAGATTTTAATTGATCAATCTGCTCCATAAATTTTATTAGTTTTTAATGCACTCCATCATCATGATTACGATACATAGTCCAGTGTTGTTTAACGTTGTGTATTTGTAATAAAGAGAATAATCTCGATTTATTGCATTTTTTTGCAGAGTTGACTTAGTTCAAGCGCAGATTCGTGTCGCTGAAGGTAAAACTTTGGACGATATTCACCTAAAACAGGATGATATTCATGTCAACGGATGTGCCATTCAATGTCGAGTCACTACCGAGAATCCGGCTCTTAACTTCCAACCGGATTCGGGCAGAATTGGGGTGTGTCTTAAAGCCTATGGCAATGCTATTCTTTTTTTTCAGCATTCAGAAAACATCACTACGGTCTCTGTATTGATCAAATTGCAACAGTGAATGATCTATATAGCGATTTTATATATTTTAAAACAAGCATATATATTTTATCGAAGTATAAACTGAAATGAAAATGAATAAACTGCTTCAAATTAATCAAAATAACTGATCTAAATCGTCAAGAGTCCACAAAGATACATGATAATAGTTGATAAAGAAGCTCTCAATTGAAGGTGTTCCGAAGTGGTGAGGGTATGGGTATCCGTTTGGATTCAGCATCCACATTTGCTGGATCAATAATATCACCGCACTACGATTCACTACTTGTGAAAGTGATCGCACACGCTCGTAATCACGCATCAGCCTGTTCGAAAATGTATCGTGCACTCAAAGAGTTCCGTATCCGAGGAGTTAAGGTAAAACACTATCGAACACAACTAAACTGAGCGAAAAAAAAACGCACCTCGACAACGCTTTTCCAGCGATAATTTTAAGGATTTCGAAAGAAACGAAAGGAAGTCAACGAAGGAAATTTCCCTCAGCGTTGATTGTTCTCTCAAAAGTCCCTTATTGATCACCTGATCTTGCAGAATTGTTACATTCGTGGCATCGCAGTGATTTGCGAAACTTTCAGACGAATATTCCGTTTTTGATGAACGTTATTCAACAACCGAAATTTTTGGACGCCTCCGTTGACACTTATTTCATCGATGAACATCCCGAGCTGTTCATCTTTGAACCGAGTCAGAATCGTGCTCAAAAGCTGCTCAGTTATTTGGGTGAATTGGCTGTCAATGGTCCGCTGACTCCGTTGGCCACACAACTTAAACCGGCTCATGTTGTTCCACCAGTGCCAGCTATTCCAGCTGGTATGTTTTATCTAGCTCTTCAACAGCTTTCACTGGACCAATTTGGTGTTTTCGCACCAATCTTTTAAGAAACCAAAATGGTTTTTATTTGATCTTATTGGATATCACCGAGGCAATTGAGTGTGTTCATTGCGACTGAACAAGTGTTCTTATGTGTTAACTGCGATTCAGGAAGTGAACATCCCTATGGATTCAAGGATGTATTGAAAACTCAAGGACCAGAGGCATTCGCGAAAGCAGTCCGTAACGCACCAGGATGTCTGATTACCGATACAACGTTCCGTGATGCTCACCAAAGTTTGCTGGCCACTCGTATTCGTACCTATGATTTAGCCAAAATCGCTCCGTACGTCTCACACGCTCTTCCGAATCTTTTCTCAATGGAGAACTGGGGAGGTAAACTAATTTTTCTTCCAAACAACACTTTTCGCGTGAAATTTCTTTCTTACTAATCTTTCTATCGAGTCAGTGGTAAATGAGTTCAACTCGAATCACATTCACAAAAGCGTTTTGATCATCCTTGATCAGTGGTTGTTCTTTTTGAACTGTCTTCATTTCACACATTGAAATTTCCTGGTTTTCATTTCAACTTTTTGAAATTAACGCATAAAGGTGAAGAAGAAGAAGATTCTCATTCGGAAATGCTTTGCCTGGCGAATAAACTTTTGAGAAGTCGCGATTGAAAAGTTATTCTGAAAGTTTCAATCATTCACTTGGTGACATTTTCCATATGCTTGAAATTTCCGATCACTTGAAACAGTTCTCAATTGAAGGTGCCACATTCGATGTCTCAATGCGTTTCCTACACGAATGCCCATGGGAACGATTGGAACAATTGCGTAAGCTCGTACCAAATATACCGTTCCAAATGCTGCTTCGTGGTGCAAACGCTGTTGGCTACAGCAGTTACCCGGATAATGTGGTGTACAAGTGAGTTATTCCGGTATATCCTTCATTTTTGCTTTCACTGGCTAATCAATCAGTCTCAATCCATACAGCGGACGAAATCAACTTTGTTCTGACATATCGTCGTTGCAGATTCTGTGACTTGGCCGTTAAGTGTGGTATGGATGTGTTCCGAGTGTTCGACTCGTTGAACTACTTGCCGAACATGTATGTGGGTATGGATGCAGTGGGTAAAGCCGGTGGTGTTATCGAAGCTGCGATCTCGTACACGGGCGATGTGGCCGATCCGAACCGAACCAAATACGACCTCAAGTATTATTTGGATATCGCCGACAAGTTGGTGAAAGCTGGAACGCACATACTCGCCATTAAGGCTAGTTTTCACTCCAAAAATCAA